TGCTGATTCCTGGTTCTCAGTCTAAGATCCCTTCATCTGGAGATTTTTATTTATAGTAAGCGCTCCATAGAATTCACCTGTGCATTAACGTTTCAAACCACTTTAGTAGAAAGTATAAGAAATTAGGATATCAACTAATGCAAAAAAGGCATTAACAGCAACAAAAAATGTTTAGGGTTTTAAAATTTTCTTTTTAACACTATAACCCACTGCCATTGAGTCAATTTTGTCTGACAGCAACCCTATATGCAGTTGCTAAATTATTACATAGATGCAAACACTCTTATGTTTCTACTAGGGAGTGGCTGGTGCATTTGAACTATAGACATTTTAAAGATCAAGTTACTATTACTCTTATAAAGGGAATCAGCAAAAAAATTTTTTTCTTACTTTTATTGGGAGCTCTTATATCTCTTATCACAATCCACAATCCACACATTCATCCAGTGTGTCAAGCACATTTGCACATATGACGCCATCATCATTTTCAGCAAAATGTATAGCTCTAATGTGAAATTTTATCCTTAGACATGGTAATTCTGAGTTCTAAATTGGTAATGCAGAAATATTTTTCTTTCAAAGTTAACTGATTTTCAGAATCAAAGATGGTACTCTGTCGCTTCTTTGTAGCTATAACTGTCAAATTCAATTCCTTCAAACACATTATCTCTTGTACCCATTAGCTCTTGTACCTACATTTAGAGCTTAAAAACACTAAACTTACTGCCATAGAGTTGATTCTGACTCATAGAGGCCCTATAGGTCAGGGCAGAACTGCTCCAGTGGCTTTCTGAGACTGTAACTCTTTATGGGAGTAGAAAGCCTTGTCTTTCACCCGTGGCGCTGGCTGGTGGTTTTGAACTGCTGACCACTTTGTGGTTACCAGCCTACCATATAACCACTACACCACCAGGGCTCCTTCTTGTTTAGGATAGTTTTTGGTAAATCTTTGTTTCTGATTTCTGGATTGTATTCTAGTCATTGGATTAGAAAGAGGAATGTATGACAGTGACTATTGCCTGATAATGTATTCCAAGAAGCTCTCTAGTGAAGTTTAATAGATTGTTAAACACACACACACACACACACACACACACACACACATCCACAAAAGGGCTATATGCACACATTTCAGAAGGACTCCGCACATTCAAAATGACAGTTAGCTACAATGGTGAGTTCATTCCTGGTTTCTTGGAAGGAGGTTGTGGGATTAGAAAATTAATATGAAAATACATAGCAGTTCTGAAGATAAAGAGTTTAACTACTTATTATTTTGTCCATTAAAGGAAAAGGAATACAGTTCATACAAGAGTTGAAAAACAGTATGTCTAGATCACACTGAAAGACATAAGAAAGTTTTGAGCAAGGACATAGTAGAATATATTGTAGCCTAGGATATGCTTTTCTGAGTCAGAGGATTACTCTGGACACTCCCAAGCCCACGAAATACAGCAGGCTTCCAGGGAATACTGGAGCCATGTCTGAACTTTAGTGATCGAGTTCTCTTAGTTATAGGCATCTTACTGCCCAAGTTTCTGTATCGTCATTCAAAACTCACAGGCCAACTAACTCACAGGAGGCTGGCCACCTTTCTGTCCAGGCCATCCAGTGCTCCAAACATTTGTAACTGAAGATGAACACGGCTGGTTTTGCTTTAATCCAACACAAGCCATATAATTCAGTCCAATTTTCTTAAAACCCAAATCAAATCCAACTCACTGCCATCAAGTTAGAGTGACTCTCTAAGACAGAGAAGAATGGTCCCTGTGGGGTTCTCAAACTGTAACTCTTTACAGCAGTGGAAAGCCTCGGCCTTCTCCCAACTTTCCTTTTAAAGGGGGGTAGTAAATATAGTGGGGAGCCCTGGTGGTTTAGTGGCTTCCATGTTGAGCTGTTAACTGCAAGGTTGGCAGTTCAAACCCAGCAGCCTGTCTGAGGAAGAAAGATTGACAGCCTCAGAAACCCGCAGGGGCAGTTCTATGATGTTCTATAGAGTTGCTATAAGTCAGAATCCACTCAATGGCAGCATTTGGTTTTTGGAAGTATAATGGGTAAAGTTTCATAACTCTTGATTGATTTAGAAGAGATATTGAAAAATTATTTGCAATTCCTTTTCCTATTTAAATGTTTCTTGGCTTTAAACGCTACACAGTCCCTTGACACAACTCTTTTGGCAGCTCACATATTCTATGATTGTCCTATGAAAGCCCTTCAAGATTTGAAATCAGTATATATTTTATTAGTTGTCCACTGCAATGTCTTGAGTTACTGGCTTATAATTCCATATCATAATAGTAATAGCTCCTTTGATTAGTAACTTCAAATGAGTACTTGTTCCATAACCCATAAATTACCTTTTTAAAAAGAACGATTCATGGTAAAATATATATTACACCAGGGAGAAAGATGAGGATTTCTACCCCATAAAGAGTTAGCCTCAGAAACCCACAGGGGCAGGTCTACCATGTCTCAAAAGGTCGCTATGAGTCGGCATTGATTTTGTTTGTTTTTAATATAAACTCCACGTTTGCCATTCTAACTATATTGTAAGTGTACAAGCCAGTGACATTAATTGCACTCACCATGTTGTGCTACCAGTATTACCACTTCCCACTACCAGAGGCTTTTTTAGCCAACTCAACAAAACCTCAATCTCTCCAAAAATAATGGACTCTTCCCGCTCGCTCCCAACTCCCGGCAACCACTTTTCAACCTCTGTCTCCAGACGTCCATTGCCTCTTCTGGGTGTTTCACAGAAGTGGGGTCGTGGACGGTCTCATCCTTGTGGGTGTGACTTCTTTCATTCAGCACCGTGTTTTCAAGGGGCATCCATGTCAGCACTTCACTTCTCTTTAGGACTGAATAATATCCCATCGTATGTGCATATCCCATTGACTTTTCAATTCATTTGATGATGCACACGAGGGCTGCCCCTACTTATGCATTATGTTTTGAAATGTAACACCGACAAATTTGTCTGAAGTTTGATTTCCCACATTCTCTAAGCATCCACATTCTCTAAGATCTTGTATGGAGAAGCAGTTTGGTAAAGTGGAGTAAGACTTGAGTCAGGAAGCCTAGCTCTCAGTCCAGCGAGTACTTTCACAACTGAAGCAGGAAAGGTTGAGCGAGTCCCTTTAGCCTTGCAGGCCTTCATAAAATGTGGGAGATAAATTACTATGCTTTCTATTTTCTTTTTTGTTTGCTTGTTTTTGCTTTCTATTTTCTTTAGCTACCTTTTACATATATTGTCACTAGGGGTCGAATTTTGACTGATAGCAACCCCAGGTCACAGAGTGTCACTGCATCCCCAGGAATTTTTAAGCTGTAACTAAAAAACAAACTGGAGGAATCCCGGTGGCGCAGTGGTTAAGCACTCTGCTGATATCCAAAAGGTCAGTGTTTTGAACCTACCAGCTGCTCCAGGGGAGAATGATGGGCTAACTTGCTTCTTAATGATTTTGTCTCAGAAACCCTGTGGGGCGAGTCTGCTCTGCCCTCTGTGGTAGCAACAAAGTGGAACAACCAGATGTCACTGGGGTCGGTGGTGCAAATGCCTTGTGTTCAACTGCTAACGGAAGGCTTGGTGGTTGGAATCCACCCAGCAGCAGTAAGGCAGAAGAAAAAGGCTGGGAGATCCGCCTCTGCTAAGCTTAAGGCATTGAGATGAATTGTGCTTCACCCCAGAAAAGGGCAGAGAGAGAAAAAGGAAAAGAGCAGTTGAGGAGGGAAATGAGTAAAACAAACATTGCACTAGTCATTTTTGGAATGAATGCAAAGATGAGCAAGACAGTTTCTGCCATCAAGGAACCAAGAGCCTGAATTGAACTAGGACATCTACATAGTATATGACAATATCAGCGTTTTCCTCAAAGAAATTCACCAAGAATGAAAACTGGCAGTGAGTATGTGCTAGAGGCAAACACACACCTGTTAACTCGTGCAGGGCTCAAGGTCATTAAGCCTATAGAAAGGTTCGTGATTGTATCAGCATTACCCCCACCTCGGGTCAGAAGCTCCTTTTCCTTGAGGTCCCAGAAGGGACTAAGTCAGGACTGGTTATGTCTCAGTTGTGAATGAGGGAATAACGAGAAGTTATGTGGAGGTAGCAAGTAGGTGGACCTTTAAGGATGAACCGTGGAGAAGAGAAGGGATTTTCAGGCTAAGGAATTAATCAGCACCAAGTAGCTGCTCCCAGAACCCCAAGAACCAGTTGTCCTGTGAGGTTCACACGATTCCGGCTTCCTCCACCTTCTCCTTTAGGGTTTTTCAATTTCACCGTGAAGAAACCACTGCAGTGAAGTTCATTCCGACTGACAGTGACCTTAGTTACTAGTTAGAGTCCATGGACTTGCCCAGGCTGTCAACTTTCACCGACCAACAAAAGCCCACCACCGCACCTTTCCACCGCGGGGCTCGGGGTGGGGTCGGGGGCAGTGGGTTTCCAAGCACCGACTTTTCGGTGGGCAGCCCGGCGCCTTCATCACTGCGACTGTCTCCACCTACAAATTGAAAAGAAGCGCAGTGTCTTCCGAAGGACCCCCGGGTCCCTGGGGTGGCGGGCACCCCTGCTGGACCTGGCTCCCCGACCCCGAGGCCGGCTGCTACCTCGGG